TTTCCATTCATGCGTTTTGTCAAAGTGACCTGCTGGAATTGGACATGGCTCGGCGGAGTTTATACAATAGTTAACTGAAGATGAAAATAAAAATATATTGCCATCCTTTAAGTAGATTTCTACATTTACTGTTGTTCCATCTTCAATCGGAACAGTGCTATCTCCTACGAAATGCTCAGTGACATTTTTACCAGGTTGCCATATTGCTGGAGTGTAACTCGCTTCAGTAAAAGTGATGGGATAGGTGCCAGCACATTGAGTATAGTTGCCAACGTTATCAACAGGAGCTCTTTTAGTGACCTCTCTGATTGGAATGTCAACGATATCACCAAGGGCTCTTTTAGTGAACTTTCCGATTGGATTTGGAATTGAAAATGAAGTGATTAGTGTAGCATAGAAGACGATCAAGATGAAAAAAATATTGATTTTGTTCATGTTGGTTGTTATAGTTATTGTTTATTTGAATTTTAAGATTTATTTTTTTTTATTTTCTAATTCAATTGAATCTTCTCTTTATTTATAACAAAAAAACTTCGTACTAGATCATTTTTTCGTCCAATAAGTTTTATTTTAACATCAATCTATCAATATTAGTAAATATAATACTAAAGAACTGATGGAACATTTATTTATAGAAATACTATTCTCATAAAAGTATTATTTATCTATATTTGTATTTTTCATTATATAATAAGTCCACGTGTTACAATAGAATTGTACAACTAGAAAATAGAATTCTACTTCTAAAAATGAAGATTCATTTTCTCGTGGCTTTGATACTTTTAGCAATTCCATTTATTGATTCATTGCTGATTTCATAAAACATTTTCAACAAGTATTCTCATTATTTGAATGAATATGACAAAATGATAAATTTGAAACAGTATACTTTTTTTATAATTATTTTGTTCTACATGTAGGGATTATTATTGTTAATTATTCCGTAAAATGTCTGATGTTAATCAAATTTCATGGACAAATGCTTGACGCTAGATTAGGCAACAACAAATTTTAAATCTCTATTCCATGTAAACATTTCTTCGTATATATTTAGATAAATAAATACTTGAAATCTAAAAATACTATTGTGTTTATTTTCCTTTTCACCACACCATATCGTGGATAAATAGATATCTCATTAATAGAAACCATTTCCACACTCTCTTCATTTATAATACAACTCTTGATGATTTCTTTAAATCCATTACATCTCTGATATTTGATTTAATAAACTTGTATCTCTTTGAGCTTTAATTCCAATGCTAATTTGAATGCATGTTTTGGTAACAAACGTAGAAAATGCATCCTATATATATATATATATATATTATTTTTAGGAAATTTATTGTTATAATTGTCATCGTTTCTAGATTTTCTACAAGACTTATTAGAAATGGAAAAGTGCAAATTTCCTATCAAAATAAACAATATTTAAATATAATTATTTAATTATTAATTAACTAACCTTTTGTTTCCATTAAAGCTCTAACGGTCGATTTTCAGCTCAGCTTCGATTTGACTAGTGTCCTGGACATATTAATATCAATCAGCCAATTGAATTTCATTTTCCCGAATGAAATCTCGATATTGATATCATTTTATCATTTTTCATTTTCGGTTTTTCGGAGCGCTAGTTTCCGTAAATCAAAATCTGGGATAGATATATGTATGATAAAAGTCACTTTCCTTTTTTGCACTTTTTTTTTTCAAAAATGTAAATAATTAATAGATTAGAAAAGGCTGGTAAGAATTTTATTACTTGTGCAGCAGTATTAATTCCCGATCTAATTCATATAGTATTGGTTTTTCCCCTTGAATCATACATATATTTCTGGTTTGCAAACATCAAATGGAATTTTGAAAAAAAGAATTCTTTTAATTTTTAATTATTATAATAACACTTCCAGCATTATAACAGGAAATAATAAAATTTTACACCAAAAGATTCCTTGCAAATATATTACATATATATATATATATATATTTACATTCATTCGAGGTCTTCCTAACGCGTTTTCATCATACAGGCACCAGGATAAGAATTAAAAAAAAATGATTTGTCAATTCACTAATTTGTGAATAGTATTGATTGAATATGTTTTTCTAACAGGCTGATTCTTTGTACTTTTATTAGTTAATTTTTTTCTTGTATCAATAAGTTTAAAGAAAAAGATAAAAGATACGTACATCATTTAGATTATCAATGCGTTCAACTATAATAAATCTAGAGGCCTTGATTAAATTATTCCAAAATGATTGTTTGATTTAAAAATATCTGATTTTAGATGTGGAATCAATTGATTGCTGAACCATATTATTTTTTTGCTGATGCCACAGATTAAATTAATTTTTAACGTTATTTTCATCTTGTGGTCTGCCATCAATTGTCAAACTTTAAAATTTTTTCCAACGAATATAACGAATTTAATGATGTTGGGAAATTTTGATTTCAAATTTATGAATTTACTTGCAACATCTGAAATCTCAAGTTTTTAAAAGTTGGTATCAAAGTATCTCTACGACTTTATTATTTTGGAATTTTAGATAATTAAAGACTGATTAAGATCAATATATTGGCATAACATTGATAGAAAACCCTTTGTACGCTACCCGTTCTTTATTTTGATTGGGTAGGAATGTGACTATCATATACTAAAAGGGTGTGTGGTGAGGGTTTCAATGTAACAGAGGTAGATCAAATTAAAAAAAAAAATGTTTTCACCATCTTTGCCACTTGAACTTTTAAATGAAGTATTTGAATATATCAAGGAAGATTATAATTACAAAACACTATATTCCTGCATTTTGGTAAATAGACAATGGCACAATTTCAACATTCCAGCTTTATGGAGAAATCCATTTAATTGCAGAAGCAGCATCAATGTATTGATAAATTGTTTATTGATAAATGACAAGAATTTCTTGGTGAAAGATGATGACATTCTACTAAAGTATATATTATTGGGTAGACCGCCATTGCATAATTATGCTAAATATGCTACTGAATTGGATTTATCACTATTATTTGGGGTTTATAGATTAAGCATACCTGGTAAAGATTATCATTTAAAAAAGAGTTTGGTAAATTTTATCTTGGATCATTCAACAACCATTAAAAAACTTAAAATAGTTAAATTAGAATTCGAATGGATAACTTATCATTGTAGATTTGATTCTTGTTTTCAGAATCTTTCTGAATTAATTTGTGATTTATCACTTAATTCTAAAATTCTTGATAAATTATCAAAAATTTGTAAAAATATTCAAAATTTGAAAATGCACCTTAGAATTTTTTCTCAATATGATGATGATGTTGATCGTAGCATGGTTAAATTAGTTAAAGCACAAAAACAAATTAAAAAATTATCCATCACATCAAAGAAGAGATTAAATTTATCAGATAGTCTCAAAAAGGCAATTTCGATTCATTCGCAATCAATAATTAATTATGAAAGTTGTGGCAAGACAAATGATTTGGACACTTTAATACCAACATTTAAAAATTTAAAAATATTAAATTTAACATGCAAAAGAAATAAAATGCCAACTAAAAAGTCCATTATACTTCCATGTATTGAAGGAATGAAGTTATCGATTTCTGCATCAAAATTTATTAAAGACAATGGAGTAAATCTTAGAAGGTTATATATTATAGGTGATCATCCAGTTCAACATCTTTTGAAGGAAATGATTCGAACTGTTGCTCAAAAATGTCGAAACTTAGAACATTTAACAATTGTATATAAGAATGAAGTATATCAACAACTTGTACATATATTCAATAATTGCACTAAATTGAAAAGCATTGGATTTTATAACAGGGCTCGAAATTATACAATAAATGGTGATAAAATTCTAGAAATTTTAAATCAAACTTCACCAAAAAATTTGAATAGCATAATTTTTGAAAGTAGTGCTACTATTTCTGACAATTCTTTGGGAGTTTTAATGAGGAACTGGGAAGGACCTAGACCTATTGAAATAGAAACCCTTGGAAAAAGGAAACAGATTTTCTATTAAAAATGATAAGAGTTTTTTTTATTTCTTTTTTTTTTCTTTTTAATATTTTTTTTTTTTTTTGCTATTTTTCATTATTAAAATATGAAATAAGTGATGATGGTAATTAATAAAGAATCAATACCAACTTCTAATCTAAATAATTCTTACTTAAATTTAGTAAATAGATTGGTTCCGACTTTCTACTCCCTATGTAATATCCAGATCAGTCAACAATTTCTATGATGCAGTTAAATTGTTTAATTGAAACTGATTGAATAAACTTCACAGATATTATTGTCTGGCATATCTGTTCTTTCTGAAATGTCGTTTTAATTACTTTCAAGAGGGACGGATTCATACAAAAGTTAATTGTAAATCAATTTATTTTAAAAATATTCTAATAAAAATACGTATGAACGGGATGTTGACGTAAAAAAAAAAAAATAATAGTAAAAAATAAAGAATAAATCAATCATCCGTTGATAATTCACCCAATGTCAAAGTTTCTAGCCAAAGTAGAGGAGAGTATGTATATCTTCAGTTGTCTATTAAAACAAATCTTGCCCGTAAAAGATTTAATAGAATTATTATTTGAATCATTTATTAGTAGCCAGTAAAGTATTAATTTTATTGATGACTATTTCAACTTTTCAATATCCTTTCCCTTATCATTATTGTTACCTTTTAATATTTAGTAATGAGTATTAATTAATTAACTTAAATTGTAAATGTGTGATTAAATATCTCAAGTCAAAACTTTGTTTATATAAAATTAAATCTTTTGATATTTATACGTAGGATCCAATTTCTTTATATATTTTTTATCCAGATCTATACATGTTAAGATTTTTTATTAAATTGATGTCGACAACCTTAGAATTTTGATACTTTTAGCTTCACAGTTGTATACTGTCATAAGATAGAGGCCTTTTTAATATTAATATAAGTTGGACAAAATTTTATTAAAAGAATTTCATTTGCCAAGAAATTGTATCCCGCGTATGACAACATCAACTGCTCCATATTCAATAGATCGATCTAAAGTATAATCAGGTCTTCATATATAAATATTATCTCTCCTAAAAGTAATTTGACATTGTTGCCATTTACTGTAAAATCAGGGATTAGAATATAGACTAAGTTTTCGTTCGGTAGCAGGTGAAGATTTTGTCATCAGAGATCAATCACTGGCACAGAGAGCAATGAACATGTCATCAAATTTCATATAAAGTATTAATCTTTCTTGAAAAATCTTTTACTAAATATAGCAATTTAATTAAATAGTATTGATTGTTAAGTAATTCTAATATTTTTGTTTTCGTCTCATTTAATCATTCAAAGGTAAAAAAAAAATTTTATCAAAAAAAAAATTCACTATAAAAAAAAAAATAGATAATTATCTTTTAAACAACTGTGTTAATTTCCAATTAATTAATAATGAAATTTTTATTTACATTTGTTAACATTCTAGAGAAAAGAGTTGAAATCAAGATTATTTAATGAACTATCATTACTTGTATAACTTTTCAAGCTTTTAGATTTAGCAATCTCTTCATCTAATATTCTACTTGTATGATATGCATCTGGATGTGAT